GGATGGAGACCAAAGAGGAAAAGAAGAATGGAAATGGAGCTCTACAAGGTGAAATAAATCTGCAGCTTTAGTGTGGTTCTTAAAGAAGTCCAAATCCAACAACAAATTTGGCGCATTTCTTGAACGATTAAACTTGTTACAAATAGAAATAAGAAGAAATCTTACAGAAAAAATAAATACAAAATAATGTTAAAAGATTTACTTCGACAACAATAATTAAAATACAAAAGAAAAGATTTGAAATAGCAAAAAACAGAGAGGCAAACATACTTTCACAAAACCAGCAATAACCATGAATCACGACTAATTGAATAACAGCAGTCCAAAACACGCAAAATAATTAGCTTTGTGGCGAGTTTTTTAGCTTTCCATCTGCTACAAATAGCGCCTTTGTGTTCAACTCGACCGAAAGTTAATTACTGAAAGCGTTTGTAGGAAAAGTTTTTAACGATCCTAGGATAATAAACTGGATGGAGACCAAAGAGGAAAAGAAGAATGGAAATGGAGCTCTACAAGGTGAAATAAATCTGCAGCTTTAGTGTGGTTCTTAAAGAAGTCCAAATCAAACAACAAATTTGGCGCATTTCTTGAACGATTAAACTTGTTACAAATAGAAATAAGAAGAAATCTTACAGAAAAAATAAATACAAAATAATGTTAAAAGATTTACTTCGACAACAATAATTAAAATACAAAAGAAAAGATTTGAAATAGCAAAAAACAGAGAGGCAAACATACTTTCACAAAACCAGCATTAACCATGAATCACGACTAATTGAATAACAGCAGTCCAAAACACGCAAAATAATTAGCTTTGTGGCGAGTTTTTTAGCTTTCCATCTGCTACAAATAGCGCCTTTGTGTTCAACTCGACCGAAAGTTAATTACTGAAAGCGTTTGTAGGAAAAGTTTTAACGATCCTAGGATAATAAACTGGATGGAGACCAAAGAGGAAAAGAAGAATGGAAATGGAGCTCTACAAGGTGAAATAAATCTGCAGCTTTAGTGTGGTTCTTAAAGAAGTCCAAATCAAACAACAAATTTGGCGCATTTCTTGAACGATTAAACTTGTTACAAATAGAAATAAGAAGAAATCTTACAGAAAAAATAAATACAAAATAATGTTAAAAGATTTACTTCGACAACAATAATTAAAATACAACAGAAAATATTTGAAATAGCAAAAAACAGAGAGGCAAACATACTTTCAGAAAACCAGCAATAACCATGAATCACGACTAATTGAATAACAGCAGTCCAAAACACGCAAAATAATTAGCTTTGTGGCGAGTTTTTTAGCTTTCCATCTGCTACAAATAGCGCCTTTGTGTTCAACTCGACCGAAAGTTAATTACTGAAAGCGTTTGTAGGAAAAGTTTTTAACGATCCTAGGATAATAAAACTGGATGGAGACCAAATAGAAAAAGAAGAATGAAAATGGAGGTCTACAAGGTGAAATAAATCTGCAACTTTAGCGTGGTTCTTAAAGAACGGTGCCCTGCATCGTTCTGTCCAAATCAAACTCCATATTTTACGGATTTCTTGAATGATTAAACTTGTTACAAATAGAAATCAGAAGAAATTTTAGAAAAGAAATAAACACAAAAATAATGTTAAAAGATTTACTTCGACAACCTGTACGTAACAGCGCTAATAGTGTTAATATTGTATATTCTTTAAAAATAAAATATGACCTACAAAATAAGTTTTTTTCTTTATAAAACATGATTAAAACACACAATATATATATTCAAACCCCTAGTAAACGCAATACTAAACGATATATAGTAGATAAACGCAGACGACATTTTTTTTTGATAAAATCGATCATGCGGCACATGCGATTAAGTCAAGCCGATCGACAGAATGAGAGAAATTAGAAAAATAAACGGCATAAAAAGGGAAAAACGATGACAAGCTCGTGGGTATTTTATACGACAAACTTCGCCCATTGTCCAAGAGACTGACATTGCAGTGTTCATTGGTTTCGTTTGCAGAGGCGTACCATAATTTATTTTTGAAATTAAATAATTGAAAAAAAAGAAAAGAAATAATTGTAAATATTGTCTATACCTTTGTTTTGTTTTTTTTTCCTTGGTTGATCTGTTGATAAGACTCTTGAATTTTAGTTTGATTAGTATCGCATTACAAAGAAATGACTCTCATAGACAAACTAATTATGAAAATATAAAAATAAAATTAAGTAAAGTATTACTAGAGTCTCTGGAACCATATTGTTTTTGAATAATATACTGGGTGCGTCTCAAAAGTGGCTCACCCTTAAAACTTTTTTATTTTTGCAGATGTAAAAACGAGATTTGGTATGTTAGTATATATGACATAAATTAGGATCAATTGACGTATTTAATTGTTTTTGATCACTTCCTGTCTCACCGGAAATGAGTTCAACTTTTGATTTTTAAATGACACCCTCGGTATTTTTTACTTTATTCCATAGAAAATATCACTATGAATAGAATGACATATCATATGTGAACTCTTGATATTTTCGCATATGGTTTATTTTAAACTGTAACATGCGGTTCATAACGACAATTTTTCTCGTATCAAGTACCAAGTGTGTGTGGTACCAAATTATTCATAAAGAAATGCTTTTTCTAAATTTGCTAATGGACCACTCTTGTTCCATTTGAAAAAATTGAGATATGATTAAAAATACGATTTGATCATCTTTTAATCTTAAAATCTATTTTTCCAAGGCTCTTTGATTAAAAATTAGTGTTTTTAACACAGCCATGACACTCTAGATTGATTTCAATACGATTTTTTTTGAGCGAAAATGTCAAAAATTGACATATGATATGTCATTCTACTCAGAGTGTCATTTTCTATCGAATCTTTTTTCTACCAGAGAGAGTCTTTTTTCTACCACCTTTAGTAAAATAAATTTCTTGAAAAATGATAGATCGTACCACCAGCAGCTGACTTTTTGTTGTTTTGTGTAACTAAAGTTTGTAATTTGTGTTTTATTTATCGATATATATGTATTTGAATTTTATTGATGCTGCTTCAAGCTTTTTGCAATAAAACATACTTCTACCAACTTTAGTTGAGTATAGTTATTGGAGAACGATAAATTGGAGTACCAGCATCTGACTTTTTATTGTTTTGTGTAACTAAAGTTGGTAATTTGTATTTGATTTAAAGTTATATATGTATTTGAATTTCATTAATATTATTTCAAGTTCTTTGCATGAAAATATCGTACTCAACATTCTTTAGTCAATCAGGAGATTGATTTTTGTTCCGTTACAATGGCAACTAAATATACTAATAACACGGATTCGGAAAACGAATTTATGCCTTAAGCAATCCTCCAGTCTAGAAAGTTTTTATAGGCAGACATGTAATGATCCTTAGATTTTTGTGGTAGCGATCCAACACTTGTTAATTTGGCCGCCTCTGCTATCTCTGGTGGTGCACAGGACTCATTTTTTAGTTTCAAACGAGTTCTTGGTATGCCATTTAATACGCACTACATACTTAACTTTTGACAATTTTAAACGTCAAAATTAATAAAAAGAAAAGATAAGAAAAACGTCAAATTATCCACGCCGCGCATCGGTATGTTGTGAGTTTCACGTTGGCATAGCAACAAATGTAAAGTAAATGCAAAGTGTGATTTATGATAATTCACTGTTATCAGCTGTTATATTTCACTCTATTACAAATATGGGCACCATATTCCATCAGCTAGGAAGTAGAATATTGATTTATTATTAAGTGGTCGTGGACAAAAAATTTAATTATGTCAATATTTGCAAGTTGATAAATCAACGTTCCTAAACAGCCCGTAATGGAACTCCCAACTTCTCAATTCTACTTTGTATGCAACGTTAATCAAGAATATCAAGTTAAATTCGAAATACGTCCGCTGTCTCCCATTCCGCTAGTTTTCCCTTCCCGCTTCTCACTTTGCCTGTCACCAGAGGACCCAATTAAGCCCTGGGTGCACAGTTTCATTGTCGAAGGACAGTAACAGTTTCGCTATGACATCGCCTCGACTGCGAAACCGTTTCCATATACATCTGTTTCGCTTAGAAGTCGACAGCGCTTCAGATTTGCAAAGTTCGATTTCTTGTTCGTTTTGATTTAATCAAGCTCTTTAAGTAAACGGCATAAATATTTTATACTCTAATTTTAGTATCAGTGGAATGAGGTTCGAAATTGCTAAGATTAGGGTGTATTCCGTTGCTTACCTTGGTTATGGTTTTATGTTCCGTTTCTATCGGTTTCCTGAAAGTTTACTTATTACGGAACACGGTTCCTGAATAACTGTCACCAAACTAACCAGCGCGAGAAGGCTGGTTTTTCTGGTTTTGTTTACAATCATGTCAATTATATAACAGAAATCAAGCAAATATTGGAAGTTCGAGTAAAATTCTCATTTAATTTCTAAAATTTGTAATAATACAGTAAAACTTCCCATTTCGGCCACTTCTAAAAAGCGGTCACTTCTGTTAGCGGTCAATTTTCAGTTGTTTGAATTAATCTTAGGGGAATTCCTATATTAAAATATTTCTCAATAACGTTAATTCCGAAAGCGGTCACCGGCCGCTTCAAAGGTACATTTTAGGGAAAAACCCATTAAATTTATTGCCCCAATACCGGCCAAAAACCGAACCCTTCGAACCTTTTTTTTTGTCTAACAAGAGCTGTTTCAGGACACTTTAGGAAATTCCAAGCAATAAACCTTTATAATTTGTTTGAGAAGTAGGTACAGAGAGTGACAAATACAATACAAATTCGTCAGTAGTTTGCTGAAATTTTTGGGAGATATAGAATCAGTTTAGTTTCTTACTCTGAAAGAACAGCAACCATGTCTTTGAAACGTAAACGTTTGTCTATTAAAGAGAAATTAAATATTGTCGCGGAAAGTGAAAAATATAACAGCAGTGCTCGAAAGTTGGCGGAAAAGTTTGGTGTTGGAAGAACGCAAGTGAACGACATTTTAAAAGACAAAGTGGAATTAAAAAAAAATGTTTGAAGAAGAAGGATGCAACGCAGATAAAAAACGAAAGTTTTCTAAAACAGAAGGATTTGCAATCGATCAACTAGTTTACGAATGGTTTTGTAAAGCAAGGAACAAAAACATACCCATATCGGGAACCTTAATTCGGGAAAAAGCTCTTGAGGTATCTACATCCTTGAAACTTAGTGAATTTAAGGCTTCAACTGGCTGGTTAAATAAGTTTTGCAAGAGACATAATATTAACTTCAAAACAATTTGTGGTGAGTCTGCAGATGTGGATGAAGTGACTGTTGAAGACTGGAAAACAAAATTAACAGCAATTAACAAAGGGGACGATGCATTTGACGAAGAGGACGACATTCCTTTAAGTCAGTTATCTTCAATTTTAAAAAACATGCCAGGAAGTCCAGATCTTAAAGAATATCTGACAGTCGATTCAGATGTCCCTACGGAAAATCCTAGTTTAGAGATGCAGGGAATAATCTAGGAATTTACAAACAACAAGGACAGACAGGACTCCACTCAAGCCGAAGAGGAAGAAGATGAAGGCCAAGACATTCTGTGTTCATCTATAAATAATATGAGTGAAGTATGTGAAAAATTAAGAGACATTCAGAATTTTTTGGTGATTCAAAACAAAGACGAACTAGCGGTTGATATTGCCCATACTTTAATGAAATTTGAAAGTGAAATTACAAAAATCAAAATTAAAAATTTAAAGCAGACTACCATTAATCAGTTTTTCACCATATAAAATAAGGTTATAATTTTGTAACTTTTTAAAGTCAATTGTACATATGTATATAAGAATACCTATGTGTAAAATACATATGTATACATTGTAAGTTTTTTTTTCAAAAATTCTTATGTAATAAAGTTTTTTTTGTAACAAATGAATTATTTTTTGTGCCAAAAATCTAAAACTGAAGATCATCTATTAATACTTATTGTGTGTTTGTACTATATGCTCGTACTTAATTTTAATTACTTTGCACGTTTCCAAAATAAAGGCATTTTACATTGGTATCTGTATTTTATTGTTCCCAATAGTGGCCACTTCCCTTAACGGCCACATTCCTTTGAAAATTTTTGTGGCCGCTATATGGAAGTTTTACTGTATTTTGTATTTATATCCAAAAGCAATGGAGGTAGGTAGTAAAGGTAAATAAATTTCATTAACTAAATAGAATTACTTTTTAGGACCATTTAAACTAATCATGCAGCCATTGTTTCTTAAAGTCAGGAACATTTAAGAAAACATGAGAAACAAGACAATTAATCGTGAATGTTTTGTAAGCTATAAAAATATAAATATTGACTAGATTTGTTTATTTATTATTGATCTATTTTAATATTGGACCTGCAAATCTTCACTTGAGCTGCCTAACTAGTTTAACAGTTTATTAATAAAGTATTTTTCAATATTAAACTCCATTGAAAAGAAGAAGCAAACGTAAAAGCAGAGAATAAATACATTAAAAATGCATAAAAGCAATAAAAGATAAATTTTATAATAAAGGTATTGAAATTGAGAAAACATCTAGGTATATTTGACATTTCCAGTATTTTACCAAACCGTTCTGTATCAAACTGATGTGTTTCAGGAACAGCTCTTTACCGTAGTTTACCGGTCTGGTTCGCCTGGTTTTGCAACGGAAAATAGCCAAATACTGAAGTTTATAAAAACTGAGTTTACGAATTGAAGTTGATATGATTATAGCTAAAAAAATTGTGAAAATGGAGCTAAAATAACAAAAATATAATACTTTAAATTTGACCAAACATTTCTCCGTTGCGTTTTTTGCATCTGAGTGTATATTATTTCTGATTGTTCTTAAAATAATGACATATAAATAATTTAAATACTATTAAAGTTGCTCAAAAAAAATCTATAAATATTTTTCAATATTTATAGCGGAAGAAAAAATAAAAAAAGCTGAGTGTACAATTTATCTGTAATGAACAGTTTTGCATTTTAATCAATCAGGAAATGGCCACTGTTCGATTTTGTTTTCGTGCCTCTTTTTTTCGCGAACCATTTAGCAAACTCGATTTATGGCCCCGAAAATGCTATCGCCGATACAGCTGCGCTATTGAAAAGTTGCGTTAGGCAACCATGCTTCCACTGAACATTATTATTTATTTATAGGTTATTGGATGTTTGTAACTTGTTTATTTCCACATTAAAATATTTTTAATTATAAAATTTATCACACATGTTTCGAATATAATAATTTTATGCGCCAGTACTTCAAATTACCTTTTTGGTGTAAATTTATTTTTAAATTGGCGATTTCGAGTTAATGATATTCATAATGTTTTGATTATTTTATGTGTTATATTTATTGGGGGCGTATTTATATTTTGTTTTATGCTCACATTTTATAATGAAATAGTATACAGGGTGTTATTGAAATGGTGTAAAAAAATTCGGGGGTGACAGTACTCGGATACTAGTTAGGGGCACAGAAAGGGTGAATTTAAAAAACGGTTGTTTTAAAATTGTAGGCTTAAAAAAATGAGATAAGACTTCGAAAAAAAATCCTCTGCCATAAATTTTGACCCTAAATCAAATGGTGATACCGAAAAATTATTTGGAAAAGCGGAAAGGGTAGTTTTTGCAAGGGTAGGAGGTTGTTTCGTGAATAACTTTTTTGAGGTAATTTTTTTTTGCAACGTGAGTGAATTTTTTGAAAACTACATACTTTTTCCTACAAAAAAGGTACTCTTGTTGCACATCGCCCAGAGCGATGGTTTTCGAGAAAATTGAAAGCAAAGGGATTGCTCTGATGGGTTGCTAACTGTTTAATCAACATAAACTTAAGAAAGTTATGGCGGTTCAAAAGTAACCAAGTAGTTATTAAATAATTAATTTGGAAATCAAAATTGCATGATTTTTAAAAGATCTTATTGCTTTAACAACGAAATAAACTTTTTTGGTTTTAAAAAAATTTGGTTTGCTCAGTGCAAAAAAAAAATATAAAAAAAAAAAATAAAAAAAATAAATAAAAAAAAATAAAAAATAAAAAAAAAATAAAAAAAATAAAACAAATAAAAAAAAATATAAAAAAAATAAAATAAATAAAATAAAATTTAATCAGGTATTTTCGAATTTTGTTGTGGATGCACATTGCTATATTAGCTATACATACATATATCATATTTAAAATTGCTTATTTTTTTAAAATATGTTTGATTTTTATTAAATATATTATGTACATGCATAATTCGTTATTTATTTTAGATTCTATATATATCAAGTGACAGTTTAACGAGCAGACATCAGAGACCAGGGGATTTTTACAAATTTTTTGCTCTTTTTTTCCCGGATTTGAAAATTTGTCAGATGATTAATCTATACTAATATTATAAAATCCTTAAGTGACTGAGTCACTGATTAATCACGATCCTGCTCAAACCACTCAACGTAAGAAGCTCAATTTTGGCACACAGGTTGATTCTAGCGTGTAGAGGCTCGATAAGAAGGGATTTTTCGAAACTCGAATTCTAAGAGGGTGAAACCACCCCTCAAATATTACAATATTTTTTATTTAAAAAACGGTCAAGTTTCCGAAAAAACGCTTATACACGTATATTTTATTTTGTTTTTTTACATATTTTAAGATTTTTTAAAAATGTATACTGGGTGTTTTGAAAAACCTCGTCTGATGAAGGACCTGGTCTGATGAAGGACCTGGAAAGATGAATTATATTGATAGATATAAAGATATATTATATTGATAGAGAAATTGAAATAAAAATGAAACGTTTACACCCTATATCCCCTAAACTAACCATTTCTGGACATACATTTTTATGAACTTTTTTACTTATTTTTATCTGAAGAATATGCTACCGAAATTTCCGGAATACAGTTCGGACCACTCTGTATATAAAATTTGATTAGAATAACATACCCAATAATTCTATCGGTATTTTCTGACCGGAAAAATAAGTACCAAAAATATTTACTGCTTCCTGGACTTAAAAAAAAGTGTTACATTCCTAGCTTTTAAATATAAACTGTAACCAAATTCTGTACAGTTCGTTTTGCGAATTTTCGAGAAATAAAAAGAATCGAGAGCAAAAGCCGTTTCTGCAAAAGGGCAAATAAAAATCGCTCTAAACCGAAAAGTTACTTTGTACATTCGTGGGATTTCCGATTTTCTCTGTGTCTGTCCCGGTTTATTTTAAATACGCTTTCGACGCCCAGAAATAAATTCAGTCCGCAATCAGTGGCGTACTTTAAAATAAAGCCCTGGAAATGTTTAAGTTTTTACATTTTTACTTGTCGTTATTTTTTATACAAGACGATAAAATGGTATTTTATCGTGGACTGAAAAGATTATCGTCGTGTATAAAACAATATTTTTTCCATAGCGAGTTACGTGTTAAAAAATATTCAGAAATTATTATATCATGGAATTTATTACGAGTAGAAAAAAATATTGTGCTGGGTTGGCGTTGGTTTCTATGTAATTTGACAAATAAATAAAGCTGTCTCTTTAGTTGTCAGTTTTGAGTCAATATTTTTTAATTCTCTTTCGTGTCGATTGCTGATTGAATTGGAGCCAGAAATGGCTCAAAACGAAATAAGTAAATTACCAACAGATATCCAGATTACAGTTGAGGGTTGGAACCTTTGGTGTTACACAGCAAAATAAAAACACTAAATCACCACAATACACCAAAACACTTTTACTTTTACACTGGACGCGCGTTTCGCTAACCATGTTAGCATCATCAGCAGATGATTATAAACGTGATATCCAGGCTGAGGCGACAAACGTCATGTCCAAACTACCTCCATTTAAATCCCGAATAATTTATAGGAATACAAAAATTTTCAAAAATTGAAGCAATTAAAAAACATGCGAGAAGAAATAAAGTTTTTAACCTATCCTCGCTGGTAAAGTATCATTTAATCTACACTTGCGGTTAAAATACTATTTTATCTACTATTTTTGATAGATATAAGGCAATTTTAACAGTTGCTATGGAAAAAAGTATTTTTTTTCTGTTATATTTTTCAGTTCATTAGAATTTTCAAGTCGTCACATTAATCTAAAAATATTTAATGATTTTTATAAATTGATATAGGTCTCAGGTAATCGTAAAACAGTTTCCAATGCACGTGATCAACTGTGAGTGACAAGCGATGGCGACAGCGCTGCCAGATTGTTATGGATTTATGAGATGAATTTTAATGTAAATTGGAAACAATATAGGTATTATTCAAAGATTTTTACGTTTTATTTTTAATTTAATAATTAATTGATTTATTTATTTTAGAGCTTATTTGACTTATTACCTATTGGCAAAACTAATTCATTATGAAGATTATTCTAAGGGTGATTATGGGTTATTTATTTATTTATTGATGCAGAACTTACAACACCACAAACAAGTAAGAGGGTTCCATTAATGCACAAACTAATAATCACAGAATTCACTAAAAACTAACGTAGAAGTAACTTTAAAAGTGGT